ATACTGACTGAACATACACTTAGTGAAGAAAATATTAGCATAGTACTGCATAGTAAAGAGTATGGCACACAGTGAAAGCATATACTGTAAGCTACATGAAACATGAAAACACATTACTGTGACTAAACTTTGGAGCAGTCAGACAATTAATTACAGCTGAATGAACTACAGCTAACTGCTGAAAAGATCATCTGAGCCCTCCACCTTCTTCCCACTCTTGCATGTCCCATTCCATTCTGTTAGAACTAACTCTGATGAAATTAACCTTCCCATTTTTTGGTGGTGTTAGTTTTCAGCTATATCAGTCTTATCTGAAAATATAAGCCTTGATTCTGATAAACACTGACCACAAAAATCAGAGCTTTTGATAGAAAACACTTGTAATCAGTAATAAGTTTAAACATAAACTTTCAAACAGTAGACACAGAACAAAGATCTAAATGGTTTGCAATACACACTTTTGTAGTTTTCATTTTGTTTCCATTATTGCTAATATTTATACACTATCTTTAAGCAACTTATTATTCTCATCTTCATATCAGTTATCTAAAGCAACTGGCTTTTTACAAATAACTAGATACCTACTAATATGCATATAAGCAGCAGTAAAATCAACTGCAATATTTCCTTTTTTCTTTTCAGTTGTCAAAAAGTTGTATTGCCAAAATGGTAATGAAGTCCAGAGTCCTCATATTCTGAACTAATGCTTATAGCCTGACATATGGTGTCCAATAATATACTGCAAACCATTTGTGATTAGATTATTTTATAAAAAGAAAATAAAAACATACCCCTTCATCAGATACACAAGCAAGACGATCTACAAGATCAGGATTAGCTATCAAGCTTTTTATATACTCCTCACCTACAAAAGCACACACATAAATATTTATGCAAGAGATGCACTGGATTTAGGTATGAAAAGACTGCTGAGATTGTTTATCTGAGCAATAAATTAAACATACATGCCACTTCACTTACATGTATAAGCTGTTATCCCTTCCTCTAGAGCTTTCTCTTTATTAGTTCTGTCATTTGTTAAAAAGATAACTTGAATCTTCTCCTCATCCTCTATTTTCTTCAAGTGTTCACTGTACCATTTTACTGCTACCCGAATGGCTCTGTCATTGCGGTCATTAGAAGATTCTCCTTGCTCTTGCTGTATGTATGTTTCTCTAAATAAATTAAAAACAAACAAAAAAAAGGGGAGGGGGAACAAAACAAATCCCAACACTTATCCATACTTACAAAAATGTTTCAGACAAACAAGATCAAGACTGTGAGGCCAAAAGAATTACTGCTGTACCAATTTTTATAGTATGTGTGACACTCTATAGGCCACTGAAGGCTGAGGAGACAGAAGGGTAAAGAAAAAGAGGAAGGAAGTGTTAATTTCTAATACAACCTTCTCATTGCCGATTGAAGAGGACTGCATTCAAGATGCTAGAACTATGCATTCAAAACACCTAGAACTACAATATTGCAGTACTGGAAATTACTTGTGAGCACAAATAAAGGCAAATTAATTGCATCTTCATTTCATAAAGCTTTCTGTCACTAACTGACTAACAGGTTTTTGAATTTTGCTACAGACTGTCCTGGCAATATTAACAAAGCATTGGGAGTATGTTTAAAAGGGGTACTAAAATGGAAAAGCATTATTCCATTGCTCAAGTTAACAGTCTTGTCTGTAAACTTTACTCAATATTCTAACCACCTAATCACCTTTTCATAATATATCTATGCTTATACTAATTATAAACCAGAAAAGCTCCTGGAACATGCAATAGGAATCCAATAGGATTCCTTAGAAGTATACAGTTCTATGCACTCCAATCTATTTTTTTTTAACCTAGTTCACATGTTCCAGTTCTGTTTCCCCACTACTTTTACTGGACATCACTACAACTTTGTGTCCTGGTTTCAGCTGGCATAGAGTTAATTTTCTTCCTAGTAGCTGGTACAGTGCTATGTTTTGGGGTCAGTATGAGAAGAATGTTGATAACACTGATGTTCTCAGTTGTTGCTAAGTAACGTTTAGACTAAAGTCAAGGATTTTTCAGCTTCTCATGCCCAGCCAACAGGAAGGCTGGAGGGACACAAGAAGTTGGGAGGGGACACAGCCAGGGCAGCTGACCCAAAGTGGCCAGCGGGGTATTCCATACCATGTGATGTCATGTCCAGTCTATAAACTGCGGGGAGTGGAGGGGGATCGCCGCTCAGGGACTAACTGGGCGTCAATCAGTGGGTGGTGAACAACTGCATTGTGCATCACTTGTATATTCCAATCCTTTCATTATTACTATTGTCATTTTATTAGTGTTATCATTATCACTATTAGTTTCTTCTTTTCTGTTCTATTAAACTGTTCTTATCTTAACTCACGAGTTTTACTTCTTTTCCTGATTTTCTCCCCCATCCCACTGGGCAGGGGGGGAGTGAGCGAGCAGCTGCGTGGTGCTTAGTTGCTGGCTGGGGTTAAACGACAACACTTTGTTATACCATGTTCCACACCTTACCTATGATGTTCATTGGTGAAAGAATAGAAATGTTTTTCAGGGTTTTGAATCACATCCCTAATTCGCTTGTATACTGGTGCACTCCGATTCCTGACTTCTTGTAAGACTGTCTGTAGCACAATGACATTCTTAATAACAGGATCTTCAAGTATATCAATCTGAGGAACAAAATGAAAGTGAATCAAAATTGTTGTTTAATTCTATCCAACAACAGGACTTGAAATATTTGTTTGATTAATACGTAAAAAGCTAACATGAATAATGAATTGCACTACTTCTCCCTTTTTCCCTCACCATTGGGCAACAGAAGAGTGTATTAAGCTGCTTCCTCCTGCTTGTGGGCAAAAAGTTCAAATAGGATTTTCCAGCCTCTTTGTGACCTGAATTTTGCTGGAGTGAAGATAAGGCCTTATTCTGATTGCCACCAAATCCAGCCCCAAAGTATGCAGGACTCCAACCAAATTTAAGGCCAGGAGTACACTAGAAATTTTATTTACATAAAATGGGTTCTTGTAAATTACAATCTTTGTAAACAAAATACTTCTATGCACAATCTGACAGTAATCCAACATAATTTAAAGGCTGTCTGCCACATATCTTTGTGAGCAATGCAAACCATGAAGTAGTACCTGACCACTGTTACACAGCTCACACGGACATGCCTGTGCATGTGTAGGCTTAAGTTCTCTAAAACCAATCCCACTGTTGCACTGCAATTTTAATTTCTGCCGATTCAAATCAACTGGAATTCTGTTAGCTGCCCTTCACCTTTCCAAAGATCCTTTTTTTTTGAGGAAATTTGTTAAAAAATTTTCAGCACTTTTCTTTGCCAACTCCTGACAGTTGTGGTGTGCAGGAGAGACAAATGCACACCAAAACCCCACGCACCTGTCAGGTAAAAAAGGTGAGCTTAATTTCCTAAGCTTGTGGCAAGGAACGGTGCAAGCCCACCTCCAAAAAGAGACATGAATAAGGCTCTAGACGGCATGGCTAAAAGAATTAAAAGCAACGCCAGACCAAGCTTCCCTGCATCTGATGTTTGGATGACCTAAAAGATTCAGGGCCGTGTTCATCACGGTACAGAGAACCTAGACCTACGACGGTCTCTGACGAAGAGGAACGGTATTTGACAGGAAAATTCAGCGACCACCTGAAGACGCCGGCTGCTGCTTCAGAGCCTATGCGCCCTCCTTGCCTGCCTTTCCATACCCGTATCAGCCCGCAGCAGCTCCACGAAGAACGGCTGTCCTTCATTCCCACCGTTCGGGCAGCAAAACACAACACCGGAGCGTAGTCTGACACCGGGCTGGCCTCGGAGACGCGGAAGGCCGGCCCCGGCAGCTGGCAGGGAACGCACAGACGCCGCGCGCCGGCACCGCGGGTGACGCCGGGCCGGCACGGGCCCCAGAGAGCGCTGCCGAACGCGCCGGGCCGGGAGCGACGCCCGAGCCCCGCTC